GCCGCCGTCGTTGATGTAGCTGTCGTCGCCCTTGTAGCCACCGTGTCCCCAGTAGCTGCCGTCGCCATTCTAGCCGCCGCATCCAGTGTAGCTGCCGTCGCCCCTGGAGCTGCCGTCGCCCGCGTAGCTGCCGTCGCCCGCGTGGCCGTCGTCGCCCATGTCGCTGTCGTCGGCTCCATGTGCTTGTAGTACTGCTTGACGAATGTCTGGTCGTCGCCCGAGCCTTTGTCGTCCTGTGGTCGTCGTCGTCGTCGTCGTCGCCGTCCTCCACCTCGCATGCTTTGCGGCAGTCGGCCTTCGCGTCGGCGACATCGGTCGCGTCGGCGAACTTCATGGCGTTCCGCCGCGGCGACATCGCGCGGGCCATGTTCATCCCCCCGAGCAGCTGGTCCGCTGCGCCGCTCCTCCACTTAGGTAGTGCCCACCGCCTGGCGACGACCCCCCTCGGGCGCGCCTTCTCCGCGGGCGCCGCCTCGGCGCTTCCACCCCGCGGCGACGCCCGCGATCGCGACCGCGATCGCCCGCGGAGGCTGCGCGGAGGAGGAGCCGTTGGTGCGCGCGGGACCCTCGGCGGCGGCCGCAGCCGCATCGGCGTCGGCTCAAGCGGCGGCGGCTTCTCCGTCGGCTTCTCCGCCGCATTCAGCCCTTTCCGTAGGCTTCGATTCGGCTTCGGCGGCGAGCTTCCCCTGCCGCCGCCGCTCGAGCACCTCCGCCGCCTGGGCGAGCATCTCCGCCCTAGCAGGATCGTCGCCGTCTGGGATGTAGCCCGAGTCCCGCGCCATTTCCAACACGACGTCGTCGGCCGCAGTCGCGGCGTCCATGGTCGCGATGGTGCTGCTGGTCGCGCTGGTGCTGCTGCGCGTGGTCCTGCTGATTGCACTGGCGCTGCTGCGCGTAGCGCTGCAGCGATGATCGCGGCGCCCGCGGCCGGCCGCGGGCGCGGGCGCACGCGGGGGCGTCCTGCCGCGGACCCTAGGTCGCGCGGCTCGCAAACGCAGAACGCTTGAGCACGACTTGTAACCGACGGCATACATACATGGCGCCAGTACGCCAAGCCCCCACCCCCCCTCCAAGACGCCCAAACACGGGCTATTGCGACTCGGTGTCGCACGATGCCCCATAGACACCCCAAGACGTCAATGCACGCGGCAACTGCGACTCGTTGTCGCGCATACGCTTGCCCCAAGACGCTGAGGCCCATGTGCGTCCCAAGACACTTCCCCAGGCATTACAGGGCGCATCCTGCCCCGATGCACCCCAATGCGCCGAAGGCCCCAAATGCGCCTAATGCCACAAGACACCCCAATACGCATAAGGCCCCAAGATGCAACGTGGTACGAGTGCAACCACATTTGCAATGCAAGACAGCGCAACGCTTCCCAATCCAATGCAACAAAAATAACAGTCAAAGCGTCGGCGGAGGACTGGACCCTGCGAACATGATATGGTGGCAACAGGCGGGGGGGTGACGGTGAGCAATTGCACAGGCACGATGCAACCACATCTGCAAAACACGCTAATTACATGTAACACAGCGCACTAGCGATCGTCATTAAGATTGTCATAGCTAGGCGCGGGGGCGTGCGGTGCGTCACTCGAGCCGCGCTCAGCTGGGGCGACGCACTCGCCAATCACGATGGTCGGGTCGCGCTCAGCTAGGCGCGCTTCCTCGGGCAGGAATCTGCCTGCCGCGGGGCGCGCGCGCGCAACCTCCATCGCGCGCGCGGGCGCGCAGGCCCGCGCCGCGAGCGCGCGGCTGCGCACGTTGTCGGCCTGCTCCACCGGGCGCGATGCCGCCTCCAGGCGCGCGCGCGCGCCGCCGCCCGCTCGCGCCACTCGCGCATCATCCTCTGCCGCTCCCCGCGGCTATAGGCGCGCGGCGTGCGCGGCGCCGAAGGGCGCCCCCGGCCTCCACCGACGACGACGTCTCCGCGTCCGACGAATCTGCCTTGGCTGGGGCAGGCGACGCCGCGGCGGGCCGCCGCGTCGCACCCTGCCCGGGCCCCTCATCATCGTTATCGAGCAACGCGGGAGGCCGCCAGTTCAGCGGCTGGGGCCCGTAGGGGCCAAGGCGCGGCATCGTGCTGGTGTTGCTGGTCGCGCTGGTGCTGCTGCGCGTGGTCCTGCTGTTTGCGCTGGCGCTGCTGCGCGCGGCGCTGCAGCGACGATCGCGGCTGCGCCCGCGCGGGCGCCCGCAAGCGCGATCGCAGCGCGATCTCTGCGCGAACGCGCGCACGCGTCAAAGCGGCGACCGACGGGGGGGCCCCACACCTGGCGCCTTTGCCCAGTCTAGTGCGCATATCCCCATGCATCCATACATTCATTCACAAGACACAGTGACTGGAACGTAGTCCAATCGATTGCGTATAACGCAATGCCGATGGATCGATGCATCATTACATGCAGACATTTCTTCCGTCTCTCACGCGTCGATGCCGCCCCCTCATCAGACATGCCCCGCGGCGCGGAACGCGCCCGTGCACGTCGGAATAAACTACGGCCCCGGCGGCAAGCGCGCGCAGAGCTCACCCACTCACCCCGACTCCGATCACACATGCATACCGCGTCTCTCTGATATCGCACGCGTTTCCCACACCGCGTCGTCAATCATGCCCCCTAGACACCCCAAGACGTCAATGCACGCGGCTGCTGCGACTCGTTGTCACGCGCACGCTTGCCCCGAGAGGCTGAGGCCCATGCGCGTCCCAAGACACCTCCCCAGACACCGCGGGGCGCATGGTGCCCCTGTGCACCCCAATGCGCCTAAGGCACCAAAAACGCTTCATGCCACAAGACACCCCAATACGCATAAGGCTTCAAGATACAACGTGGTACGAGTGCAATCGCAGTTGCAATGCAATGCAGCGCAACGCTTTCCAATCCAACGCGAAGAACAAAATGCGTCGGCGGAAGACTGAATTCTGTGGACATGATGCGGCGGCAACAGGCGGGGGGGGGGGGCGGCGAGCAATTGCACAGGCACGATGCAACCAAATCTGCAAAACACGTTAATTACATGTAACACAGCGCACTAGCGATCGTCATCAAGATCGTCATCGCTTGGCGCGGGGGCGCACGGTGCGTCACTCGGGCCACGCTCAGCTGGGGCGATGCACTCGCCAATCACGATGGTCGGGTCGCGCTCAGCTAGGCGCGCTTCCTCGGGCGGGGGCCCACTTGCCGCGGGGTGCGCGCGCGCTGCCTCCATCGCGCGCGTGGGCGCGCACGCCCGCGCCACAAGCGCGCGGATGCACGCGTTGTTGGCCTCCTCCACCAGGCGCGATGCCGCCTCCAGGCGCGCGCGCGCGCCGCCGCCCGCTCGCGCCCCTTGCGCATCGTCCTCTGCAGCTCCCTGCGGCCATAGGCGCGCGGGTCGCGCGACGCCGAAGGGCGCCCCCCACCTCCACCGACGACGACGTCTCCGCGCCCGACGCATCTGCCTTGGCTGGGGCAGGCGACGCCGCGGCGGGCCGCCGCGTCGCGCCCTGCCTGGGCCGCTCATCATCGTCATGGGGCAACGCGGGAGGCCGCCAGTTCAGCGGCTGGGGCCCATGGGGGCCAAGGCGCGGCATCGTGCTGGTGCTGCTGGTCGCGCTGGTGCTGCTGCGCGTGGTCCTGCCGGTTGCGCTGGCGCTGTTGCGCACGGCGTCGCAGCGATGATCGCGGTTGCGCCCGCGCGGGCGCCCGCGAGCGCGATCGCAGCGCGAACGCGTGCATGCGCCAAATTGGCGACCGACGGGAGAGCCCCACACCTGACATCCTTACCCAGTCTAGGTGCGCATATCCCCGTGCACCCATACATTCATGCACAAGACAAAGTGTACTGGGACGTAGTCGTCTAACGCAATGCCGATGGATCGATGCATCATTACATGCAGACATTTTTCCGTCTCACGCACTGATTCCACCCCCGCATTGCTCGCGCCCCGCAAACGACGTGAACTAACGCGGCCCCGGCGGCAAGCACGCGCAGTGCAAACCCACTCACCCCGACTCCCATCGCACATTCAGGCCGCATCTCTTTGATGCCACACGCGCGTTCCACACCGCGTCGTCAAACATGCCCCCCCATCATTCCGATAACAAGCCCTGGCTCCTACGATGGCTCCAAGCCCCACCCCCCGCGCCCTTCGCCCCTCCATCAACCGCGCACCGAGCTCCCCTTCCACCCAACATGCTTACTTTAATATATTCAGTCCTACGGCAAAGCGGCTTGCGGGATGCCTACCTGATCGGCAACCGCTGCATCAGCATCGCCGCCGTCTGCCGACTTCTCAGGCGATAGTCCGTCGCCGCCGTCCTTCTCAGGCGACGGCCCGTCGTCGCCGTCACTACCGCCGTAATATGTGGTCTGGCCCTGCTGCGCCGCCGAGTCCTTCAGTTAGTTGGCGCACTGGGTCATGAATACGTCGTTCCACTCAGAACTCTTCGCCTGGATTCTGTTCGTCCCACTCGGCAGATCCGACGACGTACACCGTCTTGCGACGCTTGTCGCCCCGCGCCCCGCTCACGCCCGTGAGAGACTTCTTTCAGCTGCCGGCCTGGTGATCCTCGAACGCCGCCTTGATGGCGGCACAACGCACAGCTGTAAACGCAGGTGCCGCGCATTCAGCATGCACGGTGGGAGCTGCTTGTAGAGTGAACAAGCACTTAATTGCGAGGTCATCGCACTCCATCTGCTCAGAGGTGTCGCCCCCAGGAGCATACGCGAAGCCAGGAGCATGCACTGTTGCAGAGTCTGGCATCGATGTCTCGTCGACGTGCTTCTTGCGGTCCTGAGTTATCTCGTCCTGCTGGGCGTCCTGAAGTAACGGGTCGTCTTGTTTCAGGGGTTCCCAGATGCACTGGCCCACTGCGCGGTCGCGCATGGCCATCAATTCCGACAAGAAGCTATTGTCCGTGAGCGGCGCACCCCGATGGCCCGATAGGGTAGGAGGCCTGTCAACGACGTGTTGTCAGGTTTGGTGCCATGTTTTTAAATATTACTTGTTTATGTGTTGTTATGCTGGGGGCCCGGCGAATAACTGGAGCTGCGCGCCCTTCTCGCTGAGCTCGATCCACGGCGTGCCGCCCCTGAGAAGGATGTCCCGTGGTACCCGCGGCTCCTTGAGACCCCCGCCCTCGATGGCCAATGTGTTGGTCACTCGGCATGGGGGCGGCATTGCCTCTCGGGCAGGATTAAGGCGGCTCTCGCTTCGGCCAATGCGTCTTCGGCGCATTGCGATGATATGGCATCAGCAAAACACATGATTTGACCCGCAACCCAGGCACGGGATGCGCCGCGACGGCGACCACGCGTCTGAATCTGACCGCGCGTATTTTCTCATGCGCGCTGCCGTTGGTTAGTCAAGCGCGGAGGGTTCATATCGCTCGCTGCGCCCTGCAGGGTGCCGCCCTGCACGCGTGCGCCGTGGGTGGCAACGCTTGCCGGTGCCTCCCCCGCCCTTCTTCGCTGCCTTCTTCTTCGGCCCGCTGCCCGTTGCGACTCGCACTGGCTTGCCCGACAGGGTGGCCATCATTTCGCGCGACGCGTGCAGCGTGTCACCAGCGGCGAGATTCTCGCTGTTGGCCAGCACTGGGACCTTCACGCCCATGCTGGTCGACGCATGCTTCAGGGCCGCGTTGACAGTTGCCCCCGCGCGCGCCCTCTGTGGCCAGCCAGGAGGCGCAGCGGCGCGGGGCGTGGGTTCCTTCAGGCCGCCGATGCCAGTTGATGTCTGAGTGCCCTTCTTGGTCTTGAGAAGCGGATTGAGGGCCACATTGTGCGCGGTCTCCTTGACTGGGTCCTTGTGCGTCTTCAGGCAGACGCTGCCGAGCGACGCGTCATCTGCCTGCTTCTTTTTTTCAGACTTATCGGGGGCGCGAGTGGGACGAGGGTGAGTGCATCCGTAGCGAGCGACGTCTTGACCTGCAACGCGCGGTGCTGCATCGGGGGAACCACGCGCGTGAGGTTCTTCAGGTAAGTAGCATGCTTGCCGTACAGCCCGTCCAACGCTAGCCTGATATTTCCCTCCTCGGCGCTCCAGTTCCAGCCCATGAGTTTGGTCGGGGTGCGTGCGTCGAAGTTGTCGACGGCGTCCTTGACGACATCGTATACTGCGAACTTGCCTCGCAAGAAATATTCTGCATCCTTGTTGCATTCTTTGAGGTTACACTTGATCGTCACTTTACCGCCGTCAATGATGGTAATGGTATAAGCCGCAGCAGATTCTTCTTTGATGTTGTGCACGGAGGTGTCCATCTTGAAACCCTTTGGCTGCAACGCTGCAGTCTGGTTGATTCAGTTGCCCTGATGGTCGTATTGCTTCACTGTGGTATCGGGCGTCTCTTCCGTCGGCGACGCGGCCGCTGCAGTCTGCCTCTGCTGGAAAAGGTAAGGGGCTGTGTTGCCAGTGCTGCTGCGCAATGCCTGCAAGCAGTCGGAGCCGGCGTTCGCGATGTAGACATGGCTGATGCCTCGGGGCTCGTCGGGCTTGTTGAACGCGATGTACACGACCCTGACGTCGGCCAGTCCGATCGTGGTGCTCCAAGTGGCGCTCTCGTAGGGGATGTTAAGTTGGCTTGCGATCTGTCGCACTTTCACCAGCGCTGCCTCTGTCTGCATTACGATCTGGGCTCGCTTGCCGGCTGTCAGCGACACAATGTCGCTAGGCTTCAGCAGAATTTGTTCGTCGCCTTTCGAATATTTAGCAGGTGTCGAACTCATTGCCGTCATGCAGGCAAGTCGGAAGAGCGGGGCCGAGCCCTCGGTTTTAATTTTGACCGCGGCGAGGGCCGCGCGCACATTTCCTCGTGCCACGTTGACCTTCTTCAAGTGTCGGCAGAAGTCGCGAAGCTAGCACAGAGCCCACGGGGTCTCGACGCCACCATTCAGTTCCTGCGCATACATGCATAGATCGGGCACCTCGTGCTTATATGCGATACCAGACCCCCTGCAGGCTTCGCGCTGCCACGCTGTCCCATGGCATTTGGGGGCGCGGGGCGTTGGTCAGATTCTTATTCTTCGCCGCCGCCGCGATCTTCGGCGTCACCTCCAAACGAGACTCACTCTTTGCAGCGCCATGGCCTGCGTTGCCAGCCTCTTTGGCCAAGGGCAGTATGACATTGAAGGCGCCAATGCACTCCCACTTCTACACATCCCGCATGATCCCTTCCGTCGCAGCCCCAGCATATATGGGCTGTGCCCCATGGAGTTGCGATCAAGAAAACTTGCCGTCCTGCGAAATTGTCGCAAACCTCTCTGGCTCTTTCTCGGGGATAGGCGCACTGTGCCAAAAGCACTTGGGTCCCTGCGACGCGTGGCCGCATGTGAAGCTCACAAACTTTCTGCTGTCTTCGTATGGAGGCAGTTGCCCTGTCGAATCTGCCACCATCTTATCGTTGAGCCGCTTGGTTGCATCAAATGCTGCCGTGTTGGGAGGCGGGCACTCGGCACATGTAGGCATCAACAAATGCTCGTGCCTAGACCCGTTGTTGGATATTTTTGAAATGAGGTCCATTACCCCAGTGGGTACAATGCCATCCTCATTTCGGTTGCCCGTATTTACGTACATGCGCCTGATATATATGAATATATATATATAAATATATGTATGTAGATAGTCTCTCTCGTAAACATCTCATCTGCTCTGGCAGCGTCTGTTGCCTGCTCATGCAACGGCACAACCTCCGCATCACCTTTGCCAAATGCATCCGCGATCTCTCGCATGCGAAGCCTGCGTTTGTCGAGTAACATCGCCACGCGATCCGTCATCATGCAAGATTTTCCGGGCAATGTATTACCATGTGTCTTGTGCACGGACTGCGGCTTGCCCTTTTTTGGCCCTCGATGTTCTACGCAGAAAACATGCATTCAATAATGCAACACCGTTCCACAAGCGTCAAGAACCTGAACTTCGAAACCATCTGCGTGCGAAATGCAGCCTCGCAGCCCTGAGCGCTTGCGCGCGTGAAATTCGAGGCGGTGCACTTACGAAAAAAGCTATATAGCTGCGTTTGTGGAACGCATGTTAAACGTTAGCGACGTTAGTTACTCTTACAACCTCGAGCTAACAAGATGGTCTGACCTTATAGCGTACTTATAGCAACTTAACTATGTTACAACTAACTTGTAACCACGACTAACTGTTATACCTCGGCTGGGCCTTGAAGCACGAAACATCCGTTGGGATGCTCCATTCAATTCTTGCAGGATGCCAGATCCGTCCTTTCGACCCAGAGTATGGGGGAAACGTGGAGAAAGCGATCGTCGGGATATATTCTTTTGCGTATCCAGAAGATAATCCTTCGACCCACTTGCGGCACACGATGGCGGAATATACCTTCCACGATGGATATTGGACCCCGGCGGAAATCAAATTTTGAAGTTTTCCGAAATCCGTTGCTGGTGATGTTGGCCCAACACAACAGTGCACCAACAACGCCGATCAAGTGGTAATGACAGAGATGCGCACTTATCATTGGCACCCTTCCGCGCATCGCACGTGCGGGGGTGGCGCTCGGATAATGTTGCGGCACTCGTTGGAAGAAGGCGAAGCTGCCGGCAAATATTTCAATGTCAAACGATTGAGGAGAAAAGAGAGAACTGAATTGATAGACAAAATCAGGAGTCAGAAATGCCAATGGGTTTCTTATCTTTCACCAATCGAATGGCAGGAAAATGCTTCACCGCACCTCGAGTATGATTCTTCGATGGAGAACGTGCGGGACTACTTGGAGAGCAGAGATTGGAAAACTCGCTTTCGAGCACCAATTCTTGGACGGAGCACATGGGGATAGGAAGCGCCCGGCCCGCGGCCAAGCAGAGGCCATGGCCAAGCCGCCGGCGCAGACGGCTGGCTGGCCCGCCTCTGGCGCAGCCAAGCCTCCACCGCTTTTTTGGCGATCTTCAGGATCCGAAACCTCCGCCTCCCACCGCGGCCAGACCTCCTGTGCCGCCGACGCCTAAAGGTCAGGGGGACACGACGTCTGACGGGTCGGATAATGACTCTCAGGAAGGGAACCTGTCTCCTACGGCGCCGCCGCCAGGTGACGGGAATCCTCGGGAACCATTATCAGACAATGCGTCGAAGCCGCTTTCGCCCCCTCCTGGACCTGCTCCGAAGTCACTGGCTAAGCCCAGTGCGTCCGATCAGATGCCGAAGAGAGAGGCACAAGCGCCGCCACCTGGCATTCGACGTGGATGGAGGCCTTCTTTGAGAGACGACCCATCCACGGCAACGGCGGATGCATCGGGCGCCGGGAGCTCGAAGGGTTTGGCTGTGCATCCCACGCCTCCCCCACGGGACCCCCCTTGTTTCGATCTGCAACGACATGGTAAAAAAGGGCACCCGGTTCCCCAGCAGAGACACAACGGGAGCAGCCCGGCAAAGCCGGAGCTAGCCAGCATACTATTGAGGTAAGCGCCCCGGAGAGACCTAGAACTCCTGTGCTTGACTTGCCAGATCCTCCTGCGGATGCGACAGCGCATGACCTGCAGGCCTCCCAGCCCGATAGGATTGGCGAGGGCGACAGAGAAGGGCCGAATAATAATCTCGATTTGTTGTTGCCTCCAAATGACCTCCCGGATAATGATCCCGCGCCAGTGGATGTTAAATTTGCCAGGGATCTTCTGTCCATGCATTTTGGGCCTCAATCGAGCGGATCACATCTGTCACAACGCAATGAACTGATGGTGATCTGGCAAGCTCGCCCAGGCGGGCTTCCTGATGACATTTTCAGGGAGCTCACGATTTAAGAGGCGACCTTTTTGAGGGATGACACGATGACATAGGCACTTCGCAATCTGAAGCAAGCAGAGGAGCAGAGGAACGAACCCTCTGAGCACTGGTTGCCTATTACAAACTGTGCTTATTGCCTACGCAACTTCCTTCAGATTCGGTATTCGCAGTATATTCCCACAGGAGAAGTCCCACATGCCCGAATGACCGTTCATCCTATGGCGTTGACCGGTGCAACCGGGGGCAACGGAACACAGAAGGGGAAAGTGATGCACAACCCGCTGAACCGCAAGACAATCGACTGAGGATCCCCCATTCTCGGGAGAAGTCTTACCTGCTAATCGCGGAAGACGTTGGCGCTGGCACTAGTCCAGGAGTCGCGGACTTATTTATGCGCGCGACTCTTCCGCCGACGCCTGATTATAAACAGCTCCGTCCTGGGGGGCGCGACCCTCCGGCTTGAATTAGGAATCGTAGTCGCGCCACATCCACTATTGATGGAGGGCCCCTGTATTTTGACCGACAACAGCGGGAGAACACATTCGTGATGGAACGAGCGATGAAATCTCAGAGCAGGTCATTGAAGCCCGCGGTGCTGGGCCAGTGCCCCGCATATCGGAGCTGTTCGTGAGCGTGCCTATAATGCGATCAAGGAGAATGCGCGCATGGTGCATGGCCCCATATTTGCGCTGCTTGGGGAGCTAGAGGTAGAAAGTTTTGGGCAAGCGCTCAGATTTCTCGAAGCAGAGTTTGATTCGGACGACAGACCAGACTCCATTCCCCAGGAGGCCTACAATGCCTCATTCCCTTAGTCTGCTGAATGACGCTACCGGCGCAGCCGATGAACCGAAGGCAAGGCTGTTGAAGCACGGCCGAACGCCCGCCACGCTGGGAAGTTTGGAATTCTGAAGAAAGCGCAGTCACCGAAAGCACTCCCAAGCGCAATTTGTAGGCGAGCGCGCGGTGCACATAGCGAGACATTGCGCCGAATGCGCCCGATCTTCGGGCGGGTGGGTGCACGCAGGCGACCTCATTCAGAAGATGACGAACGACAGTATAACACGTGCCACAACTGCCATAGCAATGCACGGCTTGACGACGCTGCCATCAGGAGAGATCGATGTTCTAGGCGTCAGGGCCGATGATATTGCGTTTCTTGACAAAGAGCACATCGTTGAGCAATGGCGGTCTTTTCTGAACCCAGATACCTCGCGCGACACAGTCGCCGATGAAGAACACGGGGGCCTGGTCATCACCATCGATAGAGATGAACGGGCTGCTTCGCCCATGCCATTGTTCCTTCGCGCATGTCAAGGACACTCTTGTTCTGCACGCAGCATCGAGCGCATGTATACTCCCTGCGAGTTTGGAGCGACACGGTGCCATGGACATCTGCTGCACGTTGCATCCCTAGAAACCATAAGGGAGTCAACTCTGGGAGAAGGGATCATCAAGTTCCCGAACACGCTTAGTTGATTGTGTAAAGCACCTGGCTACGGACTTCTCAGATTGATACCGACGA